CTGGCAGATCTTCACTTTTTTTTTTTTTTTTCAGTGACAAGCCAGACATCTAAGCTGTTATGTGAAAATTCTTCATTTTGAAAAGGCTGGCTACTATTGTAAAAATATGGCATGCAGCCCAGCATGGTGGCTCAAACTTATAATCTTAGCATTTGGGAGGCTGAGACACAAAGATGGCTGAGTTGGAGGTCAGCCCAGGCTTCAGTGTGAGAACTGTCTCAGAAAACAACGAAACAAAACCCAAGAAACCAGTTAGACAAGACCCAGCTCCTCTAAGGTAGTGTCCCTGTCGCTCCGTCTCCTGGAGCTGCCTGTCTGTTACCTTTCCTCCTGATCACCAGAGCCAGCTCCCTCGAGTGGGACTCCCGGCTGGCTTTGATGAACATCACCACCTGGTCATGGGTGTGCTCTGAGATGTCCCGGCCATTGATTAACACGATCTGATCCCCTTCATTCAGCTTAGGCATGCAGGTGTCTGCCTGGTGGAGGGAAGCATGTTTCCTTGTTACCATAGTGCCAGCCTCAAGGGGAAGAAGGCTGCTGCTCTCCATCCCAGACACCTGAGACCAAGATCAAGTTCGCCTGCTCTCCCTACGGTATCACTGTCATCATCTGTACAGCCACTTTTAGGCAGATGTGGTAGCTGGTGGTGGGGTTTTAAAGAAGGGTTGCTCAGAACACAATCTGTAAGACCAGAAGAGGGCAAACAAAGATGCCGAAGTCATTCCTTTGTAGGAACCAACCTTCCCTGATTAGGATAATGACCAAGATGCTTCCAAACTTTTGTTTGCTGGTTGTACTGTTAGAAAACCACTAGCCAGCTAAATGTGAGCCTTCACCTGTCTTGCAATGGAGAAGGTCTTTGTCAGCCTAATACCAGAGGTGGAAACCATCGTAGAGCAAAGTGATAAACAGAAAGGTGTGGGAAAGCAAGCCTCCCTAATCCCCAGAAACCACAAACAGTAACAAAAAGCGACTGGTAAATAGAAAACTTTTTTTTTGCATGTGCATGCGTGTGTTTGCATGTATGTGGGCACACACATGTTTAGGTGTACATGCACATGTGTGCACATTAAAGGTTGACTATGGGTGTCTTCCTTGACAGTTTTCCACTTTACTTACTAAGGCATGGTCTCTCACTCATCCTGGAGCTTGACTATCCAGCTAGTCTGGCTGGCCAGCTTACTCTGGGGATCTTGTCTCCCTCTCCCACAGGCTAGCCACCATGCCTGCCTGGCTTTTATATGGGTGCTAGAGATCCAAACTCTGGTCCACATGTTTGCATGGCAAGAGCCTTATCCACTGAGCCATCTTCCTAGCCCTTAATATTAGGTAAGCTTTATAAAGAAGAGTTTGGGGTGAAGCCCTCTAAATGGTCCCTTCTGAGAAGACACAGTGACTCACTCATGTTGCCATGCTCCATATAAAACCAAAGGATCACCACACAACTGAGGACTGTGGCGGCACATTCTTTGCAGGCTTATCAAAACGTGCTGTGAACCTTAACTATGTACAGCAAGAGAAACAAAACAAAACAAAACCAAAGAGGCAAGGGCTCTCTACTGGAATCCAGCAGAACAGCAAACTCGGCCTCAGTTCTCCTCTTGAACAGTACTTCCCAAAACTAAATGTGCACACAGTCACCCTAGGATCTTGTTACAGACACAGAGGATGGGTGAAAAGAACTGCACCTGTGCTGAGGCCAGACATTCTGCACATATAACAAGGGCCCAGGTGAAGTGATACTGCAGCCGCAGGGACCACACTACACAGCAAGGTTCTAGTTAACATGAATCCCACTCCGTCCTGATCTGTCCGTGTGTATTTCCAAATATATTTTGCTACTGATCAAACCAAGCAAGCAAGAAACCAACTAACCAACCAACCAAGCAAGAAAAAAAATTCCAACGAAACCCGGGAATAGGACACAGAAATAGAAACCTGTTTGACTTAGGGAAAAGCAAACACAGGAACTAACAGGATTCATGTTTACTTACAGGTGATTCTGGGTTTATTCTTGAGACTACAAGAGGCATCTTTTGATCCACTCCTCCCTGTAAATATTTTAAAGTAAAATAAAATAAAACAGTAACAACAACAACAAACCACACGAGTAGTTTTACCAAAAAAGATACATAGATACTAGCAAATATGAGCCTTCTAGCTCAGGGAAACATCGAAGGAGGGCCTAGTCCAATCATAGGGCCAGGCACTCTTTCAGAATCCTAAGACACACTGCTGACCCCTTTGCATCCAGACGGCTAGCCAGAGCTCTGTTCAGAAGCATGCCCTGGCAACTCCATCATTTGAACTAAAGATGCCTCCACAGGGCCCAACAACCCTGCCTGGGCGAGGGCTTTGCAAGTTGCTGGGAAAGGAGTGCTTAGGGAAAGGACAAAGCCTCAGGAAGAGCCATGTGCTGCTCCCTATTTGAGCAGAACCCCAGAGGACTGCTTGGCACAATGAGAGGTGTGCAGAATAGGATGGTGGCTGGTGGACAGCAAGAACTGTCAGCCCTTCTGCACTCTAGAGCTGGGGGTGGGGGGTGGAATGGAGAATGGATGCGTCTTCAGTCAAAGGCCAGCAAGGAGATATTTTAAGCTCTGTGAGAAAGAGGGCTCTGAGGCAGTCGTTCAACTTCACCACCATATCCCCAAAGTTGTAATCGAATGAGTGTGGCACCTGTCTCAATAATGACATGTATGCCAACAGATGGGCACTAGCCTGTGGTGGCAGTTTGCAGAGTCTTCCTAGAGGAACTCAGAAGATGAGGGAGCCATGCAACTTGACCGGCTATCTTCTCTTATCAGTTCTGCAGTGCTTTGGGGGGTCTTCTTAGTAATCCCTCCTCAGGTGGGGTGTGGCAGATATTGGATCAGCCATTCAATTTTTTGTGCCTCAGTATTCATTTGTGAGATGGGCTTAAAAACACTTTTTGGGGGACTGGGTGTGTTGGGACTCACCTTTAATCCCTGCACTCAGCGGGAGGCAGAGGCCCCTGTGAGTTCCAACATAAAAAACCCGAAACTCTTCTCCACTTTATCTCTTTCTTTCTTGTGAGATAAGGTCTCTGTAGCTCAGGTTGGCCTGGAACTTGATAGGTAGCCTCAAACTCATAAGTTTCCTGCCTTAGCCTCCCAAATGCTGGAATTACAGGTTTTGCCCCATGCTTTGCTTCACCACTTGTTTTAAGAACTCACTGAGATGTCAGAAATCTAACAGAATATAGCAAATGTCAGGCACACAACAGATACCTGTACAACCACATAAAAAGCCCCTGTTCTGAGGTTTGAGTAGATTTGTATGAGTGTGTGCATGTGTGTGTGTGTGTGTGTGTGTGTGTGTGTGTGTGTGTGTGTAGGGATGTGAAAGCATATTATATGTCATACATGTGGAGGCCAGAGGTCAACTTTAGGGTGTCATTCCTTGGTGCCATCAATCTTGTTTCTTGAGACAGGGTCTTTCACTGGCCTGGTTCTTGTTAATTAGGCACAGCAAGCCCCTTGGCCCCTCCTGTTTCTGTATCTCCAGTACAGGGATTACAAGAATATACCACCATGCCCCAGTTTTTTAGGTGGGTGGGGTCTGGGGCTAGAAATAGCATCCTTATTCTGGCATAATCACCTTACAGTCTGAGCTTCCTCCCTAGCCCCTAGTGAGTGGTATGTAGTGGATTTCTGACAGGTATTAAAAATCCACCTGAAGATTGCTTCACTTCATATAACCTTCTTTTACATAAGCACACAGCATACCTTAAGGTTAAATCCAAATTTTCCATCTTCATCTGGTGTGATACGGATCAGGACTAGGTAGCCGTCACCATCATCATTCTGGAAGACATGTGAGAATGTTGTTTATGTCATTTCCCTCTGTGGTGGTTGGTGACAAGATACTTTCTTTCAGCCAGAACTACTCAGTTGCCTGTACACAAGGTGAGTCACGGGGCCAGTGTGGCAGAACCCAGGCCCCTTACCTTGTCACAGTAGTACTGGCTGGCATCCTCAGTGGAGCCCCCTTTGGTAACCCTGTGGTAGTCCTCCAAGAACTGATGGTCGACGCCATCTGGGGAGCAGGAGCCTGGAGCATTTGAAGATGGAGACACAGAACTGGATGACTTCTGGTTGAGGCAGCTTTGTGCTGGGTTGTTTTCAGATAAACTCCTTCATCATGGGGGAGGAGGAGATGTTTTAAAAACTGGATCAATATTATTAGAGTAAACATTACTAGCTGTTGGGGCCTAGCATCTTGAGGTTGTCATGGGTCCCTGGAACTTTAGCTGATCTGCAAAGGTCTTTGGGCCACCCATGCTCTCGTCCAGCGTAAATATCATCACATCTGATTTGGGGTCAAAGGGGCAGGAGGACAGGAAAGAACCATGACCAACGAACCCCACCCCCCGCCCCCAGGATGCATTGAAGGCTGATAGAAAAATGTGTCCAGCATGGGAGGCATTGAACTCCTGGCTCTAGAACTCCTGCCTCAGCTTCCTGAGTAGCTAAGACTCTGGCCATGCACCATGATGCTCAGTTTGGGTGGTAAAATATTGAGCCAGCTCCACAGACAAGGCCATGCAAACAGTCTCCACATCTCCTAGAAAGTCTCCCATCCTTCTTATTCTGGCTGTCAGCTCCTCTTCCCAGGACTCCTGGTACCCAAAATAAGTAGAACAATTGCTGCACATTCAGGACCATTTATATTATTCCCAGTCTGCATTATTTGCCGGTGACATCCATGAATAGCCAGCACTGAGACCACATTTTACTTTTCTGTTCCATGTAGGCAGCTGGCATCTTACCGCTGCACTAACCACTATGAAGCCACTAGTGATATGTGGCTACTTAAATGTCCACAATTTAAGGTGAGAAAGTCAGTTTCTTAGTTGCACCAGCCACATTTCCAAATGTGGAATGGACACACGACAGCAGTCACAAAGTGCTGCCATCACTGTGGAAGTCCAATTGGGAAGTATTATGCTACACTCTCACAGCCACAGACTCTGACAAGTTTTACATTCATCAGCCCCCACTGTCACTTCAGAGAGGGATAGTGAGGTCAAGAGAGGCCGAGTAACTCACCTGTGATCACATGGCTTCTCTCCACCTGGAGACATGATGTCTGATGCACATGAGCCCTAAGATTTTCCTTCTTCTCCAGGTCATGCTAAGACTGCTGTTAAGACCCAGTCTCTAACTACACAGGCCAGCAGATCAACTCTTCCCACCCACATGGACAGGACGGGGATGCTCAGCGTCTGTACCACCCATGCCACTGGCCTAGCACAGGAGTCTGCAAAAAATGGGTTCTCCTTGTATTCCCCACGCACACCTTTGTTTCCACCTCTTACTAAACCTTTGTTCTGGGCCCTTGCCCATAGATTATTCTTTTTAAATGATGCATCTGTTTCCTGGCGAGTTCAAATTAGCTTATTTTTTCCCTCAGTGCTGAGGATAAAACCCAGGACCTCTCACATGATAAGAAAGCACTGAGTTACACCCCAGCCTAAATTAGCCTAATCTAAATATAAAATCTGTACCCTATTCACACACAATGATTCACAGTCTTAATTTATTTGAACAAAATACTTAGCAGTCGACCAATGTGGAAGCAGACGCATGTAAGAAAAAAGTCTAGTCTTACGGTTTTCTGGTTGTCACCTCCCCAGTCTGTGGAAAAACTGCTTTCAGTAAAATAGTATCAATGAGTATTACATTTACTTATGTTTTAATTTTTTAGTTCATGATGGGCTTCATTATATGAGGTTTCAAAGTATTTTTCTCTTCCTAATATAAAACTGCTCTATCTAAAATAGTCACTACTACCACTGACATAATCTAAGCCATCTCACAACCCAAACTATTTTCTTTCTTTTTTTTTTTTTTTTTTTGAGACAGGATCTTACCGTGTAGCCTTGGCTGGCCTGGAACTCACTATGTAGACCAGGCTGACCTTAAACTCACAGAGCTCTATCTGCCTCTGCCTCCCAAGTGCTGGGACTAAAAATGTGTGCTACCATGACCATCCCCTCCTGTATTTTACAAGGCATCTGTAGGTTACTTACAATACCCAATTCAAAGTACATGTACAAACTGTTGCTGTACTGACAAGAAAAGATAAAGTCTCTTTTATTTATTTATTATTTATTTTTTTGGTTTCTTGAGATAGGGTCTCACTTTGTAGCCCTGACTGGCCTGGAACTCACTATGTAGACCTGGCTGTCCTCTATCAGACATCTCCCTGCCTCTACTTCCCTAGTGCTGGGATTAAAGGCATGTGCCACTAGGCCTGGCAAAAATAAAGTCTTTACATATTTAGTACAGACTCTGTAAGACAGGACTCACAACATTGATATCAGCTGATTGAGTCTATGGATGCTGCAGAACAGATGGACAGAGAACATCAACTGTACCAACAACTTAAGTGTCTTAGAGTATAACAGGCTGCCACATTCACAAAGGAACTGTCACTGATGGCGTTCTCAGACCCTCAGATGATAGGGCCAAGGGAATTCCTATACCATGGATGTGGTTGGAGAAGACCTTTCTAAGGTCCTTTTTTTTTTTTTTGTGAGGGTTATGCCTGCATGTATGTAAATGTACCCATGTCATGCAATATCCATGGAAGTCAGAAAAAGACATCAGATTCCCCTAGAACTGGAGCTACAGACAGTTGTAGCCACCATGTGGGTGCTGGGAATTGAACCCGGGTCCTCTGCAAGAGCAGTCAGTGCTCTTAACCGCTGAGCCATCTCTCTAGCCCCCCCCCAAGGTCCTTTCTGATGCATACAAATTCAGAAGTGAATTATGAGAGCTGTCCCATATCTCATAGACGAGGGCACGTCCTCAGGAAAAGCAGGCAACCATATAGCCAATAAGTTACTATAATAGGAATTAAGACTCACCCTGAGGGGTGCCATGTTGGTGACCACCAAAAAAACTTTGACAAAATAACACCACAAAACTGTTCAGAATACCACCCAAGCTGTTCTAACAGGTTTCCTCCAGTGTCAGTTCTGCACATGAACTTTTGGTTAGCGCATGCTTCCTCCCTTATGTCTGGGTGTGAGGTAGTGGGAACTTTAGTTTTTTTTTTTTTTTCCGCTATGAAGAAAACTTGCTTCTCTGCAGAATTCGAACTTCCCTTGTAAGCAAGGAGGAGTGGAAAGTGGCTGAGAGAAAACTGGGAATAACAAAGCGGACAGCCTGCCTGGGCACAAAGCACACAGCCAAGGCTTCAAAACTATAATCATAAACTCTGCAACGCTGCTATAAATATGGAACAAACCAGGGGGTGACTCATCTGCTGGGATGATGTTCCCACAGCCGCGACAGCCGCCCAGTGCCACTGGGGGTGGGGGTGGAGGGAGCCAAGCCTAGGCGTTCTTTTCTCTTTCTTCTCTTTTTTTGAACATTACACTTAATTCTCCTTCAAAAGAACCCTCCTCACCGTCTGTGAGATTGTTCTGATTGCCTTGACAGAACACTTCTTGCCTCTTAACACAAATCTGCTGTAGAAAACATGTCAAATGCTTCTTAAACATTTTGCAAATACGGAAGTAACCAACATAGTTGTTCTCACTAAGTTCAGACCAGTCTGTATCTCTTGCCTGGGGAACAGAGTCTGTCCCCCTTCACCCACCAGGTATTAAGATCTCAGAAGCTCCAACAGAAAGTGGCTTCTATGGGTGGGAAGGGGTTCTCGGTGTGACTGAGGGGACCTGGGTTGCTGGTTTTCCAAGAATCCATCCTACCTGCTAAACCCAGCCACAAACCATACTCCATATTGCCTGTGATCAGGATACCTTGGAAACACCATCACCTGCCTCTCCTAACCCTGAGCTCCAAAAGAAAGAGTGCTGGGACAAGTCACCTTACAAAGAAGGTCTCATGGAGACATTTCAAAGAGAATCAAGTGTGTAGTGAACAGGATGGAAAAAAAAATCACTGAAATGAACAGGACCCAAGGAAACAGATTTTTTATTTTGTTTCATTCTCAAGAGCTTAAATGTAAATGGCCTTGCACGGCTGGTGGTTCCTATATCTGATCATGAAGATTAAGATGTGCTACAGTTCTCTGTGGCTGCAGAGCACGGCGGGAAAGTCTACTGTTGAGGATGCTTCTCAGAACCCTCTGAAAGTTCTCCAAAACCTCTTCTTTCACCAAAGCCACAGAGCCCCATAGTGTGACAGGGCTGATGACAAGCCACTGGCCTAGCAGGCCCAGAGGCGCCTGAAAGGCAAGCCTTTTCTAATTCCATTTGGCGCTCACTTCTCCATGAGCAATGAGGATGTCTAACATAGGCCAATGGAATCCTTTAGAATGTCCATGTGTGAACAGAAAGTAACTGTCTTGTACCTGGCCCTGACCGCACAGAAAGTCAGTCCCCAGAAGCACTGGGACACAAAGGCTATCAGACACTACCCATCCACCCCTGGTCCTACAGTTGAGCATTTGGATGAGTTAGCCTTAGCCCTTGGGTATCCATCTGGCTAAGTGCCGTACTATGCCAAAAGAAAGGTAATGTCTTCCCCTATCAGGGAAGGATTAGTGAGGAGGCACTTTAGTTAATCTACAAATGTTTCCCATTGAAACTGCTAGGCTATTCCCCTGGCAAATCAGGTGATGATCTTAAACTTACATTCAACTTTTATTTGAGAAATGCCCTTTTGCTTATAGAGTTCTGGGGCTTGCTTACTTTCAGTGAGTCCACATGAGTACCGCCAGCAGCACATTCAGGGATGATGGGAACAGGCTATATCTGTGCTGACTGATATGGTAGGGCAGCAGCCAATGGGGCTCAACAATGCTTAAAATATGCGTGTGCACTGAGGAGCCGAATGCATGCCTTATCTCAGTTGGCTTAAATCTGAACAGCAGCCTGTGATGGGTGGCTGTACTGGCGGCTGGTCAAAGTTGAGATGCTCTAAAGTCACATGATGGGACTGCAGCTCACAGCAGGGAGCACCAACAGCAGGAGTGTATGTGGGCTTTCCCATGCCCTTGGACAGTTCCCTGAGCCCCTTCTTTTTGTGTAAAGGTGATAGAGCCTAGAGCCCATGGGGGACTCAGACTGGTTCTAATTGCCTTCACTTAGACTCTTGCTTTGCATTTCTAGATCTGCTCATGGTCTGCAGAATCAAAAGTCTATACAACAGAACTCACTCCCATCTACTGCAGCCTCCACAAGGGGACAGCAGGCTGCAAGCTGGAGTGATAGTGATCATTTCAACATCAAAAACATCCTCACAGGTTACGAGGAAATAATGCCCAGAGGGATTATTTACACAGAGGTGTTAAGAACACAGATCAGCTGAAGACCTGTGTTTGCTGAGAGGCAGCAAGCACATGGAAGTGGGGAAGAGCTATACAACCCACACACTCAGGGTGCACTCAATGCCTAGCGGCTTCACTGGTAAACTTAAAGTGCCTCCTTGCTAATCCTTCCCTGATAGGGGAAGACATTACCTTCCTTCATTTTGGCATAGTATGGTACCTAGCCAGATGGATACCCAAGGGCTAAGGGTAACTTCTGAACACTTTACCCTTTCCTATCATGGTTTAACTGAAAGATATTATTTATGATCTATGTCTTATCTGCTTCAAAAAATGATTTGAGATAGCTTACTCTAAAACACACAAATAGGATTGTACACCAAAGGAAAGGGAAGAGACGGTATCAGACACCTGGGCAGAGGGAAGCAAATGCAATTGAGTCTAACAGTTGAGCAGCTTTGAGTGCTCTGGTAAGACAGGAAGGGAGCTGATGAACGAGCTGTTATTGAATAACTAAGACTGGAAGTGGCTCTTCAGAGGAGACATAATTTTCTTCATCTGATCAATGAGGAGAACTTGTCGCACTGAGGAGAGTGGGCATAAATGGAGTGTGGTGCCACATTCCTCTGATCCCAGCATTTGGGAGGGAGGCAGGAGGATCAGGAGTTCAAGATCGTTTTCAGCTACTTAGCAAGTTCAAGGCTAGCTTGGGCTACATGAGATCTGTGGCACATGAATATTATATTATTATATGATATCAATTATATTAATTATTATCTTATATTATTATATTGGACAATGAAGGTCCAGATGTTCTATGGTCCCCGAGCCTGCAAGCCATACTAGGAAGTTCCCACAGGGGCTTTACCTACCTCAAACAAACAAACAAACAAACAAACAAACAAACAGCAATAAAAGAGTGGCCAAAGAAGAATTTAGGATGAACTATCCTTGACAAAAATTTGACAATGAAAATTAGGGATGGTTTAGCCTATTTTTTTTCTAATCATTTATATGTTTTTATTGTGTGTGTGACATATGCCACGGTGCATGAGCGGAGAGCAGAGAACAACTGTGGAAGTTGGATCTCTCCTTCTGCCATGTGGGGCCCAGGGACAGAACTCAGGTCATCAGGCTTGGTGGCAATCGCTTTTACCTGCTGAGCCATCGTGTGGCCCTGTTTTTTTTTTTTTATCCTCTTCCTCTAATAATTTAAAATGAAAAGAAAACAAAATCTGAGGGTATACTCTTGTTCTGAGAAAGCCCCTAGAAGTTAGTATGCTTCTGATGACCTGAGATCACAAGGTGGTCAAGCTTCAATGATCTAGAGAAATGATGGTGAAGATGCCTTTGAGTCTTGTGCTGGATAGCTTTATTGTCAACTTGACACACCTGGGTTGAGGGAGCCTCAATTGGGGAATTTCCTCTATTGGACTGGCCTGTGACCATATCTGAGGGGCATCTTCTTGATGAGTGACGTGGGAGGGCCCAGCCCACTGTGGGTGGTGCCACCTCAGTGCAGGTGGGCCTGTGTCACATAAGAAAGCAGGCTGAGCAGGGGCCAGGGGAGCAAGCCAGTAAGCAGCGTTCCTCTGTGGCCTGTGCTCCAGCTCCTGCCTCCAGGTTCCTACCCTGAGCTCCTACCTTGGGCTCCCTGATGAACTGTGACCTGGGAGACGTAGGCTGAATAAACCCTTTCCTCCCCAAGTCGGTAGTGGTCAGAGTATTTTGTCACAGCAATGAAGAAACAAACCAGGACAGAAATTGGTACCAGAAGTGGGGTATTGCTGTGACAGACCTGACCTTGGTGTTTTTGGGAGGGCTATGGAAGTGTTTGGAACTTTGGGCTGGAAAAGTCATTGCATGCTCAGAGTTTGTTGCAGTGGAGCTTGGAACAGTTATGCTGAAAGAGTTGTAGATGATGGAGGCCTGGTTTGTGAAACTTCAAAGGGAAGCAGAGACCATCAGGGCCGTTTGTGTGAGATTTTGGATTGAGAATCTGTGGGTTCTGGCTGGCTGGGGCTGAAGAATCAGCTGTGATTAAGAAGAGACCAGAACCTGAAGCAAAACCTTTGCTTTACTGGGACAATTGATGCTGGTTAGCTGGGGCTGAAAAATCAGCTGTAAGTAACAAGAGACCAGCATCACTGTGGTGGTGTCTTCTGGGAGGTATTTCCTCAAGGTCAGCACACAGAGGGGACCCACACCTCTATTTCAAGCTGGAAGCAGGACTTGGTAATGTGTAAGAGTCTCCTGCATGGTTCTGGTGTTGAAACCATGAAGAGGTCACAGAGAGCAGCTGAGGCTTGGCACTCTGAGAGGCCAGGAAAGGCCATAGGTGAAAGTGCAGCTTCAGTTGCAGGGAAAACCCCAGGATTGAAGGGGTCATGGAGAGAATCTGAGGCTTTGCACCCCAAGAGGCAAGAAGAAGCCATTGGTGAAGGTGTAGCCTCAGTTTCAGTGGAGACCCCAGCTTTTTGGAGATGCCGGGACCATGGGACGACCACCAAGGACAGCAGTAGGTGTGGAATGGAGCTGGCCTGGATCTGTGAGACGAGCTGACTGTGCTGTGGACTGCAGAGTCAGAGCAGTGGAGCTGCCAGAACCCTTTGGAGCC